GACTCAAAAAAAGAAGCATGTAAGAACTTTCAGGTTCTCCTGCAGAATGAAGGCCAAGATGAGCTATGTTCTCATAGTCATCCTCCAAGCCGGAGCCTCTTCAAAGTGACCTGCATGCACAATCTCTTCTCCCACGGCTTCTCTCCCTGCAGCAGTGTCCAGAACTCAGGGCTCGCCCTGGGCAAGGGCTACTCCACTTGTAACACTTGGTTTCTATGCAGCTCAGGTGGTCTCAAGCTTGGATTCCTCTTCCTCCCCCTTCCTGAATGCTGGGACTCGGGCACAGGCTACTGCTTAGGCCTCAAACCTTCAGCAGTCTGATGTTGGCAGAATAAGAATGAACATCATGCCAGGCCTGGTGACACATATCTTTAATCCTAGCACTAGAGAGGCAGAAGCAGGCATCTCTATGAGTTCAAGGACAGGCTGGTCTACATACCAAGTTTAAGGCAACTAGCCTTACAAAGTGAGACTCTCAAAATAAATAAACAAACAAATAAATAAATAATGTATTTTTTTTCAGATATGGAAACCTAGTCAGAGAAGTTAATCATGTGCTCAGCTTCAGAGAGGTACCATTGATGCTTACAGACACTTGCACAGTCAATACCTTTAAAAATGAACAAGCTGGTGCTGGGGCTTCTCCAGGAACTGAGTGTAGGAAAGAGGAGGACATGCTTGCTCTCACAGCTGTGACAAGGGTATGGGTGTATATACTACTAGGTACAAGGAACAAGGTGGCAGAGAGACACCTCTGAGTTTTAGCCAGAAGTCAAAAATATATGATGATATGCTCTTTAAAATGGGGTTAAAGCTTTTGAGGGTATGTAAATAAAGTGTGTATCATAAATTAAAAGTCAAAATTAAAATCTTTTTGGACAAGCCTGGCTTTTTTAAAGAAAGAATACAGCCAATTGGAATTTTGTTTAAAAACATATGTTAAGTACACACTACCACATGGGCACTGTGCAGTGCATAGGAAGAGACACCCCGTTTATTGAGGTGGGACTGAGGCAGGGTTGAACTCCTGATCCCCCACCTCTGCCTGAGTTTATGGATGTTTACCACCATACCCTGCTGAAGGTAAACAATACAGGAATTACCAATCACCTTCTAAACCTAGTCTGTGGTCGAGCTACATTTCACTTCAGGAAGACTAGCGACATGGTGCTGTATCACAGTTACAAACATTCCATTTGTTTCTGCCTGTAAATTCTATTTCTGAATCTTTAATCCCTTGCCCACCAATTCCTATAAACCAGGCTTTACACAATAAGGCAACAGTGGGTCTGGAAGAAAAGTCAACAAGCATGCTTTCCTAAAAAGCAATATTTGGACCTAACCAACGTCCTCTAAAAGGACAAAGCTGGATTCCAATCCTCTTAAAATGCGATCCAACCCTAAATCTAGATCTCATATGTGGACATGTAAAACCTATGTAAACATACAACTCAGTTTACGAGTCAGGTGTGTGTGGCTTTTCTGTTAATTTCTCGAGTGTAATTTAATTATATTTCTTCCTTCCCCTTTCCTCCTGGTTTTTAATGAATTAAAAGATACAGGCTGGCTGCCCGTGCGACTTCAGAACTGTGCAACTGCGGCACTAAGCACATACCTGAAAGTTTAACACTCTGCTCATATTTTTTTAAAGAGTCATCAGCTGGACACCTGTCACAGCCACGCAGGGGAGAAAACGCCATTGGCTCCTCCATCTGAGTCCCCAAAGAGGCTTCCACTACACACGACTGGAACGCACTGAGCGGGCTACGGAGTCATGTGCACGGGCGAGAGCAGCAGCTGTGGAAATCACAACACGGTGAGAACGGCGAAGTCGCTCACCCAAGCAGGCATGCACCACACCACCTGCACCTCAGGAGATGACACTAAAACCCGCGCCATATGGCCAAGTCCCAGCCAGGGAGGCGTCGCTGCCACTGGCCTGCGGCGAGCACCCCCACGGGGACAGGTGGAGCCGGCTGCAGCCCGCTAGGGGCCCCCGGGGGCTGAGGGGAAGGAACGCGGTTTGCCCGGGAGGAAGTCACTCGCCAGGGCGCGGCCCTCCTCCGCCCGACTTGAGCCGACCGAGGGCGGCTAGGAGCCAACGGGAGAATGAATGAATGAATGAATGAATGAATGAATGAATGAATGAATGAA